TTGTGCCACAAACTGCACTTCCAGTTAGTTCAGTAAACACAGTCCTCATAAAAGATTAGCTAATAGGAACAATCCACAATTTTAAAGAGGAAATAGACGCTGTATTCTCTAGAATGTAAACAGGATTAGAACTGTCAGACCCACAGAAGCCTTTACTGTACTGTAACCATTAGCTTAGCTTTGCTGTTGAGAAACGCAACGTGCCCTACTGAATCATTTATTTTCAAATCCATACATTCCCCGCAGCAGTTCAAACTCCATCAGCGGTGCAGGAATGTATGAAAATGACAGGCAAAGGGCATTAGTTCTTTTCCCATACTGTTCTTCTATAAATGGAAGTGCAAGTTCTTCTACACAGCACTTTACCTAAGGATGTGTGAAGATACATCTCTAGAAAAATACAAAAATATCAGAAAATGAAGTACTATAAGCAAATTCATTATTTTCCCCCTCCAGTTATATTTAAAAAAAAAAAGGATGGAAAGGAAACCCAGTACCAGTACCTAGAAAAAAATGAAGCATATTACCATTCTGTTATCTACTAACATGCCAATTGTTCTGTTACGGGAAGAATTCTCTGTGTGTATGCATGTAAATATATTTCACGTTACCAGCAAAAAATACCCTGTGTGTGCACACACCCTCTTCAGAGCACCTGTTTCTGCATCCAATATTTAAAAGAAAAATACCAGAAACACTTTCATGGTTGCAAGTCAATCTCTTCTCTTAAAATTAAACGTGACATACGTTTTGTATTACATAAACTTTTCAATAAATTGTTTAGAAATAGAAAGCCTTTTGAAATATGTAAAGTCTGCTATTTTAATAAGGTGGCTAGCTCTGTGAGAACTAGCCCATTAAATCATAACCCAATAAAAAGTTGCATGGCTGACAGTTTTGCATTCTGCTTCCTCCTCTCCACTGTGATCTTTCCATTTTCTTTTCTTTTTTTAAACATCATTTCAGAGTTGTAAATAATGCTCATCCTATTACACTATTAGCCAAATCCATTTAAGCCTACAGATTTTTTTAGTGCGTTTTCCGCTGCATTGTCACCGTTATGAAAAAAAAAAGAGAGAGAGAAAATGGTGTTAAAATGAAAGGTCCCCTTTCCCCATCAAAAATGATGCCAGCAAGGGTTGGATATGGCAGGCAGGGGGAGGGTGGGGGGCCAGGGCGGCTAAGAAAAGAGCAAACAACCTCCACACACAGCCTCCTTTCCCACTATCTTTTTACAGAAGCTCTTGCTAGCAAAAAACACTATTGCTCCAGGCAGCGACATGCTGATGTTGGCACTGCCTAAACCAAACAAACACGATGTTTAACAGTCAAATAAAATGTCCCGCAGCCTCCCTAATGAATTTGTCAAGGACCATCAGATCACCCCCCTCCCCTGCCTCATTAACTCAAGTATGATGAGACGGATTATAACGAGAGAATACAGATCAATCGGTCTGAAGACTTCAAGTGGCTTTTAGCCCTGAGAGTTTCTCTCTCTCTCCCAGGCGCACACGCTCCGTCCTTTTAATAGAATACAGTATCTCCTGCTCCTGAAGGGGCTGCCACTTCGCTTTATACCCCCATCAAGGAGCTGCTGATGGACTTCTATACTAACATACATAAAAGCCGAGGTGACAAGGGCTCTTCAATTACAGGCTCCTCGGTTACTGTTTCCCCCCACCCCCCTTCAATTATTCATCGCTGGGAAGAGCAAATTCCGCCGCAGATGGAAGCAGCTCTTAAGGCGAGGCGGCCGCAGCCGCCCGGCCCCGGCAGGGAAGTAAGGGCTTGCACGGGCATTATTTGCTGGAAGTGTTTAAGTTTATGGCTCAAATGATGTTTCTAATTAGCGCGCGGGCAATAAATTCCAGCCGGCTTTTGTTTAAGTGATTTATTAGTCGCCGCAGCTTGGAGCTCAGGACAGGGACACTAGGAACTGATGGCTTCGAAATCGCAGGAGCCCAAGGAGGCTTTTCGCATCAGGCACCTTCTCAGCATGGCTGGGGCTGCGGTTGGAGGGATCCTGGGCTGCCCCTGCCTCTAACCTTTAAGCGCGTCTCTCTCCTCCAGCCCAGGGCCACTTCGTGGCTTTGGCAGGGCTGCGGGATCGGGGTGCGGGGAGCCGGGGTCCCGCAAGCCGAGCGGAATGGCAAGGAGCTCCGTGCGCCCCGTAGCTCTGGGGGTGAACGGGAGGGGAGGCCGAGGGATGCCCGCTGAGCCCCCGGAAAAGGAAAGGTGCTGCGATCCCCGGCCGGATGTCCACCGATCCCCACGCATGGGCTCCGTTTGGAGCCGGGGTTTGCCGGCGCTTGACACGGAGAACCCGCGCACACACGCACCACCCCCCGCAGCAGCATTTTCCCCGCCCAGGTATCCCATTCAGAGCCCCGTCTATGTTTTGTTTTTGGTTTTTTTGGTCTAAACTCAGCTCAGAAAAGAGCCTTATTTCCCTGAATGAGATTCAAGACAGGAAGATCGGATCGGATCGGATCGGATGGCTCCAGCAACTAGGGAGCTCCCCCAACTGGTGAGCTCACCCCACCCCGGGAGCCACGACCCGCGTGGGCTGGGGCTGGCGGCAAGCGCGGCGCAGCCTGATCCCGCTGCCGCGGGGCAACGAGGAGGAGCTGCCGGACCCCGCGAGAAGGGGCTCGAGCCAGGAGCAGAACAGGGCGCTCCCCGCTTTCCCCCCCAAAAAGGGAGTTTTTATTTTCTGCTCGCGCGGCCTTAAATTTTAAAACACACCAGGAAAAAAAGACTGGCGAGATCTGATTTATTCCAGCTCAGCAGTCTACATGGAAACAAAGCCAGCCCACCGCAACAAACAAACAAACAAAAATACCGCGCCGCAAATCTCCCCGCCCCCTCCCGCCTGGGAATGGTAAACCCAGAAGAGGAGTGTCATCGCAGCCGATCTGGCGAAAAAAATTAAAATAAAATCGTCAAATGGGGCAACGGATTTTAGGACGAGATCCTCGAAAACACTGGGGTTTTTAGGAAGACCCCCGAAAAACCCGGGGGGGGGGGGGGGCCTTTCTGAGACCAACAGGGTCCAATTCTTCACACTCATTGCTATTAAAACCCTCAAGGAAAGTAGGCTCGATTTGCAGGGGGGTTATTCAGGAGCGATATTTGCAATTACTGCATAATAAAAGAGTGATATATAGATATATACACACGCACACATATACATACACACGCGTACACGTTTACACATACATATACATGAACAAGTCAGCAGCTCAATAGCGTCTGGTTCAGATTTGCACAGGACTGAGCCCTAGCTACAAAAGCAGGGTCCGGACCGACTAAAACCCCTGCAAGTTGGCAGGAGGAAGGCTTTGCTTCCCCCACCCGAGTATAACGTGCAGGACGCGGAAGGATTCGTCCATGGCACTGAACCGTGACAAATGCGAGTGACAGGGTTGCTTTATTTTAATCATCACCATCATCCTTCTAACCGGTATTAGTGGCTTTGCCGCGCTTATCTCTAGTGCTATCATGATGGTTGTTGTTTTCACCATCATTGTCGCTGTTCTCGTGATTACTTAACAGCTTAATAACCAAAAAGCCTCTCGGCCTTTTGGCTCGGATCAAGTGTCGTTCCTGTTATTTTAGCTACTTTTCCGCGCGGAGATTTTCGCTCGGGGTTCACTGGGGATGCTCGTTTGCTCCTGGTGGCTTTTCCCCCCACCACCACTGCAAGCCTCGCGCTGTGCCCAGCTCCGCAGCACGCCGCGTGGGCACGGCCACAAACTTTGGCTAGGCGAAGGGCGCGTTTCCCAGCCGAGCCAGTGCGGGGAAGGCGGTCCGGAGCCGCGGCGCGGGGGCCCCGGGCGGGCTCGCCCCCCCCGCCAGGCTCGCTCGCCCTGCTGCCGCCCGGCCTGATTGCTGCTGGCCGGGAAGTAGCACGTGTCTGCCTTTCTCCCCCAGCACCCCCCCGGCCCGCCGGCAGCCCTGCCACTTCTCCTCGCAGCTGGCGGGTGGAAAACAAACAAACAAAACCGAACCAAACCCCTAAAATAAAAGCAAACTCAACCCCGCCACCCAATCCGGCCACCAAGTCACAGGGACGGAGCTCATGCACTTCATGCACTTGCACCCTTGTCTTTTTGTTTGGTTTTTTCTTTTTTTTTGTTTTTTTCACCTCTCTCAAGGCCACAACTCTCCCCAGGATTGAATCCCTGGCGCGGACCGCATCCTTGTCCTCCGGCCGGCTGGCGATGGAGGAGGAAGGGAGGGAGGGAGGGAGGCTGCGGGTGTGTGTGTGTGCTTGTGTGTGTGTTTGTGCCCCCCCCAGCCCCGCCGCCAGCAGAGGCAGCAGCGGGCAGCCGGGGCGCAGCGAGCCGCAGCCTCCGCGGGCACCTCCGGGGGCGGGGGGGGCTGGGGGGAGGATAAGCAAGCCGGGGGACAGCATCGGCACCCTCCTCCTCCTCTTCCTCCTCCTGCTGCTGCCAACGTGCAAAAAAATTTTAAAAAATAAATAAAAGGCAAGAAGCGAGAGGCGCGGGCGGGGCCGCGACCCCCCAAAACCAGCCGCTCCGAGAACAACTCCAAGCCCGGGAATGAGCCATCGGAGCCCGAGGGCGGCTGCCTGCGCCTGACGCTAGAGACCGACACCGAGAGAGAGGAAAGGGGAGGGTGGAGGGGGGTGGAAGTCAGCGCCGCCCTGCCAGGCCGCGGGACCGGCCTGCTGCCCCGATCCGGCCCCGGACGAGTTTGGAGGCTTGCTCGGGATCCTTCTGGGGCTTTTTTTGTTGGGGAGAGGGAGGGGGTCCATGACCTACTGACGCCGCCAGCGGTGCGTGGAGGCTGCACGGACCTTCCTCCCGGCCCCGCGGGCACAAGTCGCCAAACTTTGCAGGCGCGGGAGGAGGAAGAAGAGGAAGAGGAGGAGGAGAAGAGGGGGGCGCTGCCCCCGGCTCGGCGCTGCCTCCCCGCTCGCTCCCCGGCTCCGGGCGGGGAGAGGGGCCGGGCCGCGGCCGCGGGGGGTGGGGGCCGCTGCCGTCGTGCGAAGGAAGCTGCAGCCCCCGCTAAAGCATTGGATCCCTCAACGTACTGCGAGAGCCCGGTGTACAGCCCGGACCTGTGCCCCAACATGATCGCCGCGCAGGCCAAGCTGGTGTACCAGCTCAACAAGTACTACACGGAGCGCTGCCAGGCGCGCAAGGCGGCCATCGCCAAGACCATCCGCGAGGTGTGCAAGGTGGTGTCCGACGTGCTCAAGGAGGTGGAGGTGCAGGAGCCGCGCTTCATCAGCTCGCTGAGCGAGATCGATGCCCGCTACGAGGGCCTGGAGGTCATCTCGCCCACCGAGTTCGAGGTGGTGCTCTACCTCAACCAGATGGGCGTCTTCAACTTCGTGGACGACGGGTCCCTGCCCGGCTGCGCCGTGCTCAAACTGAGCGACGGCCGCAAGCGCAGCATGTCCCTCTGGGTGGAGTTCATCACGGCCTCGGGCTACCTGTCGGCGCGCAAGATCCGCTCCCGCTTCCAGACGCTGGTGGCCCAGGCCGTGGACAAGTGCAGCTACCGCGACGTGGTGAAGATGATCGCGGACACGAGCGAGGTCAAGCTCCGCATCCGCGAGCGCTACGTGGTACAGATCACGCCCGCCTTCAAGTGCACCGGCATCTGGCCCCGCAGCGCGGCGCAGTGGCCCATGCCGCACATCCCCTGGCCCGGCCCCAACCGCGTGGCCGAGGTGAAGGCGGAGGGCTTCAACCTGCTCTCTAAGGAGTGCTACTCGCTGACGGGCAAGCAGAGCTCGGCCGAGAGCGACGCCTGGGTGCTGCAATTCGGCGAGGCCGAGAACCGCCTGCTCATGGGCGGCTGCCGCAACAAGTGCCTCTCGGTGCTCAAGACCCTGCGGGACCGGCACCTGGAGCTGCCCGGCCAGCCGCTCAACAACTACCACATGAAGACGCTGCTGCTGTACGAGTGCGAGAAGCACCCGCGGGAGACCGACTGGGACGAGGCGTGCCTGGGCGATCGCCTCAACGGCATCTTGCTGCAGCTCATCTCCTGCCTGCAGTGCCGGCGCTGCCCCCACTACTTCCTGCCCAACCTCGACCTCTTTCAGGGCAAGCCCCACTCCGCCCTCGAGAGCGCGGCCAAACAGACCTGGCGGCTAGCCCGGGAGATCCTCACCAACCCCAAAAGCCTGGACAAGCTATAGGGCGGCCCGGCCCAGGACTTGTGTTGCACCGGGAGCACCGGACCCCCTCCCCGAGCCGCCCGGCCCTGCTCGCCAGGCCAGAGCGCTGCCTCCCTCCTTGCACGGAAGAGACTCTCCTCTGTCCTGCCCCTGACAACTTTCTTTTCTTTTCTTTTCTTTTTTTTTTTAATCTTTGAAAAAACAAACCTCCACCCCAGAGAAGCACTCGGACTTTGCCACCTCCACACGGCCCCCCACGCAGGTACACTTTCCGATCCGTGTCTAGTCCTTCTTTTCTTACCTCTCTCTCGTTTGCCTGAATGTTTGTCACCAAGTGAAAAAAAAATTATTTAACTCTATGTACAAATTTCACTTTAAAACGAACAAAAAAAAAAAACAACAAAGAAAAAGCAGCAAAAGTTTGACTGGTGTGAAATTGTATTTCGGGGCCGAGGGCGGATGATGCGCCTCGAGCCTGACTTGTTGCAAACTAATAAAAAAATAATATTACTTTAACTTGACGTGGAGGTTTGGGTGAATTCTTCCTAAATTCAGGCAAGTCGCTTTCCCCAGCCCCCTCCCCCCCCGACTTTCCAGGAGAAAACCATTCCTAAACCTTAATGCTTTGCTTAGAAAGGA